CCAGGCCTGCCTGGACGCTGACCGTGCCCATGTTGGAAGCGATGGCTCTGGCACTGGGGCCTGATTACTGCTCAGTTGCACATGACCACCTGCCCCCTGCTGTCAGGGAGCCAGGGTGCATGCCCAGCCCAACAAACGTAGCTGGGGTTACTGTAAGCTTACAGACGAGGGGTGGTGAGGATTGGGGCCAGGAGGCAGGGTGGGGGGGCTGAGTCCGGCAGGCAGAGTGGAAGCCTGAGTCTGAGGGGGCTGGAAAGCAGAGCAGGGGGCAGGAGGGCCAGGGGATGGGGTTGGAGCAGGGGGTCTGAGGCTGACAGGGCAGGGCAGGGCGACTGAGCAGGAGGCAGGGGATTGGCTCCCAAGGGGCCTGGTTGGGGGCGGCAAAGGCAGGGGTGGCCCGGGGCGGCTGGTGGCCCTAGGCACATGCAGCCACTAGTGCCCCGAATTTAGTGGAGGCCTGTACAGCTGTGTAGGCCTAAGGAGGGCCCTGCCTGGTCCTATCAGATAAGGGTCTCATTGGCTTCCCCGTTAGGTGTTTCTCAAGCTCCTGTTCCCAACACACACTAGCTCTGGGGGAAAGCAGCAGCAGATGCTACACTTGGCTGAGACGTTCAGAGCTCACAGAAAAGGAGCAAGGGCACAAAACAGACTTTGAACCCCAGAACCTTAATCATCATCTGGGTGGAATAAATTCCCCAAGGTGAGGGGAAGGGCAGACGTACATAACTACACTACACTGGAAAAAATTCTAAAACAATTTATATTATATTTACAGAAATGACCCAGTAGAAATGAACTGAGAATGTGGAAGATTCCTACTTGCACTATTTCAGAAGGAACCAAAGAGGCGTTGGCCTATACCACCCTTTAAGACCTTGGGTTGGTGTCTGAGAAATGCTATGCCAGATGTGGACCAATGGACACTGCTTGCAAAAAAAAGTTTCCGGATTCAGACACACAGAGTGCACACAATGCCCTGTGTGGAATACACACAGGGACCCTCATTTGAAGAAGAAATCTACGTCGAGTAACAGTTAACGTAGTGGCAAAAGCCGCCTTAAAAGCATGGAAATCAGAAGAAGACTTGGGCATTCCTTTCTATCTTCAAACAGCCTACACTGCTATTGATAACACACTGCAGCACTGCATGAGGCTTTCACTTCCATCTCCAACTAAAACGTACACCTGTTTCATCAAACCCGCTACGACAAAATATTAAGGCTGTGTCTAGACTGGCAAGTTTTTCTGCGCGCAAATACTTGCCAGCTGTCTACACTGGCCGCTTGATTTTGCGCAAAAGTACTGACGTTCTACTGTCCAAAATCAGTGCTTCTTGCGCAAATGCTTTGACGTTCCCGTTCGGGCAAAAGCCCTTTTCCGGAAATGTTTTTGCGCAGGAGGGCCAGTGTAGACAACTAAAAACTGTTTTGCGCAAAAAAGCCCCAATGGCGAAAATGGCAAACGGGGCTTTCTTGTGCAAAACCGTGTCTAGATTGGCACAGACGCTTTTCTGCAAAAAGTGCTTTTGTGGAAAAGCGTCCGTGCCAATCTAGACGCTCTTTTCTGCAAATGCTTTTAACGGAAAAACTTTTCCGTTAAAAGCATTTGCGGAAAATCATGCCAGTCTAGACGTAGCCTAACCGTGTGCCCGCATGCTTTCAGATCTATTATATCAACTGATCAGCACATCTGGCTGCTCCCTACTCCATGTAATGGGCCCCCGGCTCTGCCTGGACCCTGCTACGGCCCCGGTTTTGTGGCGGTGTGTAAAGAAAAGCGAGACTCCAATGGAAAAACGGCAAAGCAGGCGAGTTTTAAACGTCATTCTTTCGGTGTCAGTCGAGCTTTCATCAAACTGCCATGAATGCCTCAAGCAGCGCTGTCATGTTATTCTAGGGGGCTTTGGGTTTAGCCATCCCCATTAGACTGGGACACAATACGGGGGGAGGGATAGCTCAGTGGTTTGAGCATTGGCCTGCTAAACCCAGGGTTGTGAGTTCAATCCTTGTGAAGGCCATTTGGGGCAAAAATTTGTCAGGGATGGTACTTGGTCCTGCTATGAAGACAGGGGACTGGACTTGATGACCTTCCAGTTCTAGGAGATAGGCAAAAAAATGTAATGCGTGTATGAAGTGAATTCTAATGCAACCAGGGTAGACATAGATACAGTTGGCCCAAGCTGGGAACACAGCTCCGCCTGCTGGCGCGCACAGGCATTTGCCACTACTTTCCAATCTTGAATCTCAGATGCTCACTCACTGGCTCTTCTATAGAAACCGGAGCAAGTGACCTGAACTCCAAAGTTGCTTGCTGCCTTCTGTGCTACCCAGACTAAGCCATGCCACTCAGCAACAAGATAACAAGCTGCAAAGATATTTATTGATGCCACGAACGCGCCTGCTGGCGCGCACAGGCATTTGCCACTACTTTCCAATCTTGAATCTCAGATGCTCACTCACTGGCTCTTCTATAGAAACCGGAGCAAGTGACCTGAACTCCAAAGTTGCTTGCTGCCTTCTGTGCTACCCAGACTAAGCCATGCCACTCAGCAACAAGATAACAAGCTGCAAAGATATTTATTGATGCCACGAACGAGGGC